CTTGGGTCCTCGGCCACACAAGACCTTCTTTAACATGCTGAAAAGCAAGGAGGTGACTGAGGTACTAAGGTGAACCTGACCAAGGGGAGGCATTTCCAGTTCCCTTGCAGGCACGTGAAAGTTGGATATTGAATAAGGAAGGCTGAAGAACTGGTGCCTTTGAATGCCGGTGCCGGTGAAGACTACTGTAAGTCCCACGGACTGCCCAGAGAACCAAGTCTGTCTCAGACGCACAGCCAGCGTGCTCTTAGAGGCCAGTCCCTGGAGAAGGCCATCGTGCTTGGTAAAGCGAGGGGTGGGGGGCGAGAGAGGAAGTCCCTCAAGAAGATGGACGGACACGGCGGCTGCAGCCCTGGGCTTGCAGACACTGAACAGTAGTGAGGGGGGTGCGGGCTGGGCGGTGTTCTGCTCTGTGGTGTGCAGGGTTGCCATGAGGCAGAACAGACGGGGCACCGAACAGCCGTGACAGCCACCACCAGGCAGGACCGCCCGTCTGGGTTTCCTGGCTGTAATCTGCACAGAGCGTTCCCGACAAAGCCCGCTCTGCCAGCAGCTGAAGCCAACGCAAGAACAGGATTCGGCCAGATGAGATTTAGTCACGATGAGACCTGGCCCAGAGAGAGGCCGTTGTATGATTTCTGACATGGGCACTGAGCGCTAGGAGGCTGAGATTGCCTCTCAGAGCTCCCCCGAGCAAAGAGAGGAGGGACGTTCATGCCTGTGGTCAGGGGAGAGGTTTGAGGAGGAACAGCCTTGTCACTAAGGGACAGCGTCTTGGTCAGTACATGTCGTCTTATTCCTTGTGTCACCCCTTCTGCTCTCGTGGTGGGTGGCCATCGGCTTGGAAGGGTGACAACCCAGGGGGACCGTTTATCAGGCTTTCCTCCGTTACGCTTTAACAAGTACTCTGTTCCCTACATTAAACTCACAAGCTGTTCGTTGGCTTGAGGTTGTCGGGTTTTTCTTTAGTATATGAGCACTTTCTTGGGAGCTCTTACAGACATCGTAACATCCCATAGTGCAGTCACATCGAGCAGGATTGGACGCTCGTTGCCACCGTCCATTTCAAAACACTCTCCTTCTTGACCTCCTTGATAGCACCTCCCCTTTGTTCCCTCCCTCCACCATCGAGTGATCTCAATTTTACCCGTGAACATACGCAAGTCTAACAAGGTTAATGAGGTAGAACTGAAACATAATAGTAGCGGGGAGGAAATCGTAAATAAATTACTAGAGGATAGTTCTGTGTTTCATCAGTGTTCACTGCACCCTGGATATATTATCCCTTCCTGTTGACCTTCTGCGAGGGACTGTCCAGTTACCTTACAGGTGGGCTTTGGGTCTCCACTACATCCACTACAGCCATCGCTGTGGCTGCTTATTTGTGTGCTTCTGATACCTATTTCTGTTCTTCAGTTCTTCAGGCAAAGGGGACGAAAACAAATTCTCAGGTAGCTAAAAGAAGCCACACTAGAAAGCACAAAGATCTGGA